GACCAAGATAGCATCATGACCACGCTCAGTGGGTGGGCGGAGGGGACTAATGAAATCCATCGAGATGGACTGCCAACGACCCTCGGGTATGGGTAGGGGCTGAAGTAACCCTGTCTCTTATACACATCTAGATGTGTATAAGAGACAGCACACACACACACACACACACACACACACTATATTTAAGCTTGATACCGAACACCTAAGCACATAAACACACTTCACCCCCACACGCACTTTCATCCTCCCTTCCGACACACACAGATACCACCCACCCACATAACACACATGGCCTACACAAAACTCGGGGCCCTCAGTATGCAACCACGCACACCTGGTGCCCCGCCCACCGGCCCCAAACTCACCCCCCCTACTCACTAAACCTGTATTCTCCCCACCCACACATGCCCATAATAAGACAAACACAAAACATACACGGCTACCTGGTGCCCCACCCACCAGCCCCAAACTCACACCCCCCGCACACCATCCCGCGACATCCCCGCCCATAATACACCATACTCAAAATACATTGGCACTTGGTACACTACCCACAGCCCCCAAGACTCACATCCCCTTCTCACCTACACTAAACCCCCCCCCCTACCCCTCGCACTCACCCACTTTTAAGGCTACTCTAAGCAAACACTGGTACCGGCTGGCACACCCACCGAACCCAGACATGCAACCCTTATTCACCAACCCATCCCCCACGCACATTAGAACCACATAAAACAAACACTGCCACCTAGCCAGCCCCTCCACGCCAACCTAGCCAACACAAAAAAGAAAAGCGCTTCCCCGAAAAAAACAAAAAAAGAATAAAACATAGGAAGGTAGAAACAAATTTAAAAACATAAAATAAAAATAAAAAAATGCAAAAAATAAACCTCACAAAAAAACATTTTTTGAATTTCTGTACAGACACCTCGCGCCAAAGAAGCATAACGTCCCCTCCCGCATAGTTCACACATACTGGTCAAAAAAAAGCTCTCCACTTGCTTCTGCCCCAACACTACCAGCCATCGCTGCTCGCAAAACGTGCACAAACTAGCCGCAACATGCATGTCGTCTTCCACCGCGCAAACGACATTTGCACCCTCCGTAGAAAACTCCGACCCACGCAGCACTCGCCACCAAGAATCCATACCCACGTATTACGCCACCCCCCTAAACAGCCAAAACCTGCGAACTGCAAGCCACCGCCCTGGCAACCCGCACACCCCTCACCTCATACTACCCACCGCCACCAACTCCTCGTGCAGCCCTCCCTACCTCCCTGCAGCAATCCTTCACCCCTCCAAACATACGCCACCACTCGCACCACTTGTACTAGTACCCACTACAACCCCACCATCACTGCCAACTCGCACACTCTAGTGTATCCCACACATTCCCTCACCATAGCAAATATGACCCTTCTACCTGCACAAACATACCAACCCCTTCACATATCCGTTGCTAACCTCAGAAGCACACCATCCCCCCCAACTAAACCCATGAACCCCACCTACCCATACTACCATTCCCATAACACACCCTCACACACAATGGCTGAGTCTCCCCCTCCCCCCTGCTCGCTGCTACTTATCTGGTCTTCCCACCATCCGCTTCCTCAGGTTCTGCAACGCCACAGCGTCGCAACCTTCTGTTGGAAAGATCCCCTCCTCCTCTCCCCTCCGCTTCTGCTTCTTTACCTTCGCTGCAAAGAGTACGGCTAATCCCATAGCCATCTCTAGCTTGAAGGTCTCCATCCTTCTCTTTGCATATTGTCGCCTCAAGCCCCTCCTTCGGACTGAGGCCTACAGTTGGTGAGATATTGATCGGCAGCCACAGAGCATCATCTACCCTGACCCTGCGATCGCCTGTTGGACAACTGCCACCACCTCGAAGACGAGTACAATGGCTGCCATGGATGAGCATATCAGCAACGTCGACATCGACGACCACTCGGTGAGTTGCTAGACCTCTAGCTACCCCACTCCCCCTATGCTATGCTCGCTACCCCTTTCTCTCACCTCCCTCTGGGAGCCAGAGGATATACACCCTCTGATGAGACGTAACGGCGCAAACGGCGAAAAGCGCTTCAGGGGACGCGCCACCCCTCCTCCATTGGCCTGATGGCCTCTGTCTGATGGTCATACCATCTGTTGCTCCCCTCCTCCTCCTCCCCTCTCTTCTTCATCATCTCTTAAAGAGCACTTTACAGGAGGTTAACATGACGTATACATGCAAGGAGTACATGGCTGTGGGAGCATACGCGAGTACGACTGAGGATCGGACTTGGTAAGGATTCCCATATGATGGGTTGCTATGGTAGCGTTATGCTTGTACACACACACACACGCACACACACACACACACACACACACACAGCACCACGCACACACAGACGCGTGTAGAAGTGTATATTTCCATGTTCTAGCGCAAGATTCATTCGATTTTGCTCATCCTATCGATGGTAGTAACAACCCGACAGACGTTCCCTGCTCGTTCCGCTCCTGCGGAACTTCGGCGAGCATTTGAGCAGCAAGTGGCCAACAGGTCAGGCCTCATCGAATATGGAAGACCGGGTGAAATTTGAAATCCATCCATGTGCTATGGAAGCCAAGTTGGTACACCACTGGTTTCTGTGAGTGGCTATGGCGGCACAGATTGAAGGCGACATGGAGAGGTGGTGCGGCTCTGATTCCCTCCTGAACGAGTGCTCTCTCTCTCTCTCTCTCTCTCTCTCTCTCTCTCTCTCTCTCTCTCTCT